ATCATAATAAACGGAGTGCATAAGCGTAGAATTTGTTAATTCTCTCACAATTATACGTTAAAGTACTTTTACGTGTAACATTGTAAGATGTACTTGGTGTTTTGAACGAAACAGTTTAGTATGATGTTAACTGGATGACAGAAAATAGATAATAGAGTGTTCCAATGGCGTAGCACGTAGGATAACGGGAGTACGGAGAGATTCCATTGTATTTGTAATACAGACTATCCCCGGACAGGTGATCTCTGATATCATGAGTTCGATCGGTCGGATATTCGAAAAAAAGTCACTTTCCCGTTCGAGCTGGCTCATGCATAGAAAGTGACGTCGTTTGTTCGTCGGGGGCATTAGCATTCGCGCGTTTCGACGGCTGAGAACCGCTGTTTCGTTCCGTGCATATCAACGGCAGCTGCTTGGTATTGGAGGTCTACCCCCCCCCCCCCCCGACCAACAGCTTCCGACGATAGCTGCTTCTCACGATCATGCGCCAATATCGTAAATACAGCCCTTAAAATTCCTTTAACTAATATTGCCCTCCGCCGCAATTGCAACGCCGCTCGCCGACGCCCGGCGTCCTACCCGATGCACTCGTCGCGCTTCTTTTAATTTGGAAACTTCGCCGGCGCGGCCGATATCGTAAATACGAAAGTTGAAAATACCTGGAAATTATTCCCTATACCGACAAATAAAACGCCACGGCGAAAGAAGGGAGAAGAAAGTGGCCAAGATATTCCGCTCGGAGGAGCACGAAGGGAAGATTCGTTCGCGCTGGAGATGGTACGGACTGTCGAGAATAACTGCTCTTGGCTGAATCGAGAACATGCCTAAGATATTGCGTCACGGATACAAAACTTCCTTGGGAATTCAATTATTACAAGGACGACGTTGCAATCTCTTCATCGTCCATTGCGCCTCTGATCGAAAGACACCTTTAAGGAGATCGAGACGAATACTAAACGTCAACGAAGACCGTACCGGCACTTCTAAGCGTTAAATTACCTATGATGCACGAAAAAATAAACGTGTAAAGAGAAACGAGTAACTGGAATTGATTCGGTAGTACTGGAAATGATTAAGGTAATCGAATTACGTTAATTCGACCGGTGCAGCAGTAGCCTGCACGGAACTATTCAGAATGGTACACGCATTTGGGCTCGTTAGAATTGTACACATATTTGAACTCGTTAGAATTGTACACACATTTGGATTTATTAGCACCGCACACACATTTGGGATTGTTAGAAATTATAGCATAGATAAGCTTCTGTTTACATACTTATCAGATAGAAAATCGCGAACAAACGTTAACTAGAAAAACAAATAGAAAGAAATATTAATAAACGCAGCGACAACGCAAAAGGTAATTCCAGATATGAAAGTCCTGATTGCGACCAAAAACATATTCGCAAAATGAATAAATAAATAAATAAATAAACAGAAACAAAATTTCAGTTTCCGATTACCCATAGCAGTGAATTTTACCCCAAAAATCCTTTTGAATGAAAAATAGATTTCTCTACGATTCGTACCGATATTAAATTTCGAATTTCCAAAAATAGTTTCCCCCGGTGAAAATAAATGGAAGCTAGCAGACTCGACTATATTAACTGATATAATCCTTTCGCGGACGAGTTTCGGGTTCTCGGTTTATCACCTAGACGTGTCCCCATTGTTCTTGCAACAATTCCTAAGTCTAGAGAGCCGGGGGTCGAAGAAATCTGGAAGTCCACTCTGTGACAGGTAGTTAGGGATCGTGACAGTTGCTCTGGAAGTTGTCGGGGTTGGATCCTCCCTTTGGAAATCCAGCTGGCCAAGTCGGACATACACAATTCAGGATTTTACGTGTAGCGGTAACAGGGTACTCCGCGGTTCGTTGACGCTACACGCACCATGGGACGGCTAGCTGGGAAGAGGTGGAGTGGGGTGGATGGTGCATGTACAAATGTAGTAGACCAGAGGAGGAAGACGGGGGCGCCGGCGAAATGCGGGCAAATAGGGAAAGAAGAGCGCCAGCGTGGATGAAGGGTGGCTGACAGAGAACGGAGCCGGCGACAGAACGACGAGGAGAGGACAGGGTGGGATGAAAAGGGGCGTGGGTGGAACAAGGACACGTTGCAACGAGATTCTAAAATAAATCTATTGGATTTCGAATTTGAATACGGGATCCGACCGTGGTGAATGCTGTATTACAAATGGAACGGAATAGAGCTGGTCTAAGCACGCCAGTCGCGAGAATCTGGCTCGCTGGGACGTACAGGGTGCTTCTCAAGTAAGCGAAACACCGCCAGGTTTCTCCCAGGGTCTCCCAAGACGCGATTAAAATCTACATTTTAGGAGTCTGACCAGATCGGGGTCTTAAAAATTGGGTGACGTTTCAGAAAATCGTGCAGGTACCTCGCGATTGCTAGGATGAAAGGTAAATTGCTGCAAAGCGTCTGCATATTGATATTCGAGTTACTTATTCGCGTTAAAAATCTGTCGAATCTATCGTAATGTGTTCAAATGGTCCACGATGGGGTTTGGGTGGCTCACAATGAGCTGCACTGCTCGTAAGGAGCAAGGCTTATGATAAGATCCTTACAGCAGTACTTAATTGCATTTGGATTATTGTGCGACTGTAACAGAGGAGATATAGTGAACATTCCACGTATTGATTTACCTTCTAACGATGGAAATTTGCCATTTGTATTAAAACGTCGACAGTGCACCATTATTCCAGCTTTTGCCGTGACTATTAATAAATCTGAGACAGGCGTACAATCAGGTAGGAATTTTTCTTAACTAACCGGCATTTTCTCACGGTCAGCACCTTGTGGCCTTATTCCGTGCAAGAAAATGAAACAATATTAGGATTTCTATTGCTCGGACAAGGTGGCAAAAGAAAACCTTTTAAAAGGTGGTAGAATTTTCGCACAAAATGCAGTTTAATTGACCAGTGGCTTTTATTGCAAGTTGCTACTGAACCAAAGAGACCACTCGCAGATCCAGAACAAAATGGAGTTCCGAGTGGTCTTAAAGCCAAATGGCACGTAAATTCCGCGTCAAGAGCTACGAATTAATATCAAATCCTTCGATTTTGGGATGGAAAAGGATTCGAGCGTCTGAACAGGGGCGGGAAAATTAAAAGGTAGCTACCGACCGATGGAAAATTAGGAGGTACTGCGAGGAACAGATAAGAGGATAGGCCTATTGCGAGACGAGGGCGAAGGGTGGAAGAGATTCGGGATACAGTGGACATAATATATGCAATTGGGACGAGCAGCGTGTAGGGTGGTGGCTTGCTGGTCGATTATGCGTGGTGGTGAATGGTGAGGAGTCGTGGAAGCCGTGCACAGAGGCCGGCAATACCGTCAACCTACGCAGATGCTATGCATGTCAGGTATTATATGGTATTTAGCGTGTGTCTGCTGCCACTACACACCCCGTTGCTTAACATTCTGCACCTGGAACTCCGTCGTAACGCGTGTCCTCGGGGATCCGGTCGATTCCTTCGCTAGTTTTCTTTCCGTGGACCGTCCGAGCACTCGAACGTTAAACCAAGTGAGCCAAAAATGTTCGAACCTCGCAATTTCTGCCACTTTTTCTCGCGACCGTTGTCTCGAACTAGGCCACCCGGATACGGTTCGATACGCTCTCAAAATCTACTCCCACGGAAGTGCTTCTTCTGTGCGTATATTTGCCGCGATACGCCCACCGTGACCAACTTTTCAGCTTGGATATACGGGGTGTCCAGCGACGCGGCCGATAAACTTCGATCACCGAGCCGTTCCGAACGGATCTACATCTATCTCTCTATGCACCAGATGAGAATCGAATAATATTTTTTATAATCTCTCGAACACGAGAATAAAGTTTTACGAACACTTCGTCGGACTCCCTGTACGATTTCGAAACTTGTTAGTCCACGATTGTGCAAAAACGTGGTTATAATTGCTTTGCAATTAACCTTAAAATGGTCTACAACCGAAACGTCGTATGAAACATTTTTTAATTATTAATAGAAAGTGTACGAGCAAATATTGGTCCCCATTAGAGTTGATAACGGTTTGCTGCTGGAATAATTGGAACCAAAATTGCTACTGAAAATACAAAATCACGAATATAATAATTGATATAATGAGTTACCTTTTTCTCAATATTACTTTCGTTTCTGTTCTGGGATTCAATTAAAACTTTGCAACGTATCGATATCGAAGAAGAGATACCAACACTGGGGGGGGGGAACAAAATATGAGGTTTCAAATCACATACCAGTAAGAACGACGATGTATCACATATTTTTCTTCTTTTCCTTTCATTTCTCTTTCTGCCTTCTCTTTCTTTGTTGAATCTTACGGATGAGTTTCAACAACGAAAGGAATTAAATTGCTTTCCTTCTACCGTGGTTTTATCGCGACCCCGTATACCATAGTTAGCTCGTAACATCCATGTATCATAACCGAATCACGTTTACAATAGATGAGACATATTATTAAAAGGGAAACCTCGTTTCTTACGTTCTTAAACCTCATCTTCGAAGAGTCTCGACGTCCCATAGAAATCTTATCAATTAATAATTATTCTGTGTACTATAGCTGCTTTACAATAGCAGCGTTTTTGCGATTGCTCGGCACGGGATGGCGCCTCTAAAAACTTTTAAACGCCGAAAGTGCCGGTGATTTGACAATTTCCTGCGAACTTCCATTCCTCTTTAATCGTCAGCTAGTCACGCGTCACGGTATCGCGCAATTTGTATTCGTTTCGTCTATCGGCGTCATCAGCTTCCTTTTATGACCGAATGTAAATGGCCTGCAGGTGCGACTATTGATCGAAACTTATCGCCGCGCGGTAATTTCGTGGCCGGGGCCGGTCAAAATTTATTCGCAATTCTACGTGACAGCGAGATTTTCGTTTCCAGCCCGACCTCCAGATCCGGGGGACAGAGGCGATTCTATTCACAGCGTCTGAAGTTACGGCGGAGGATCGTAAACGAGCACCGCGACGTGTAAATGCTACGTTACCTTCTGGTAATCGGTGGCCAGTAGAAGATACTTCCGGTCGGCCGAGAGTTGATGGTCGAAACTCGACGACAGCGCCTGGAACCGGGTAAAGGAAGAGCAACAACAGTTAATTGTTTTTCTTGTTGTTTATGAATCGATCGAGCAACATTTATCTCCACATCGTAACGATGGGATCGCGAAATGTCTCGATCTTATCTGAATTTATTCGAGTCGCGCGTCTCGACGGGAAAGACACTCGCGATAAAACGTTCCTCGGCGATCGCGTAATGACAAGAAAAATATTCCTAACACGTTCCACTCACCGTGTTAGTGGTGTTCAGGATTATCTTTGGCTCCCTCGACGTGACGTTATAGATCACGAGATTTTCGGCTTCGTCGCGATAGAGTATCTCGTTTCCTGGAACAGAAAGATAACAGATATTTTTCTACGCGGAAAAATACACGATGCGAAAAAATCACTCGATAAATACGCCACTCGGACGTAAATAACATTTGTTCCTACGCTTCCGTAACCAAATAGCTCATATAAACCTTGGATCGATGTTGGAATTTTACGGTCGTTCTCTGATTTTTGTACGATATACCCTCCGCTGTTCTCACCCTGTTTATTTCACGATTTTGGTCGAGCGAATGCTCCGGACGTTGGTAGACATTTTTTAACTCGCGTCTGTTCTCACGTTCGTTCGGTACGATTGCTGCTGCCAACTGGTGGGCCCCACGCTGGGTCCATCGACCGTGCCAGGCACGCGGCCAATCAGAGAGCTTGAACGCGGCCCTAGATTGGAAGGAATTGTTGTCTCAGCGAGCACGTAGCGACCGTACTATTTCCTTTGTTGAGGATACTCGGGTCGAACTAACGACAATGATCAATAGGAGAACAATATATATCTTTCTCTTTCTCATACTACAAGGATTTTGAAGTTGTATAATGCTGTTCAACACCGTTTCAAAGACTTCTGTCTCCAAGAAATCTACGCACCGAGCGATCTACATACGAGAGACTATTACAGTAAAATTCCGATGTTTTTTTTCACCAAAAATGATTATAATTGACCCTAACAATCGAAAATAATTTTTCCAGACCCCCCCATCCACCTATCGATTTTTCTTAAAACTTCGTTTTTTATTTTGTTTGTACGTATTCTAAGTTAGGTTTTGGGTTAGGTGTTTTTATAATGGGTACACCTCCACGGCTTCACCACTTTACATTACGCGGGAGTAGTCGACACTAGACTGAAATTTCCACGCGGGTTAGTACTAGGATTATAGAGTAATTAACAAATGAAACAATATTGCGGCGTAAGACGAGGTAATTTTGAGGTATAGCTCGTGATTAACATGACGATTCTATGACGTCAGGAAGCATTATTGCAGGAAACAATGCTTATAACTCGTAATGACGCCAAGTTGCTTGGTTCGCCTTCGGGCAAACAGAAGCTTTCAGAGTTTGGTTAGCCGCGTTAGGAACACCCACAACTCCAAGATTCCATCTGTTATGACAAGCTTAGTCACGGATAGAACTTACCAAGCGCGCCTAATTGCACAGCAATAAAATATGATACCCTCGAATTTTCAATCTTTCCTTATTGATCTATGTATATTTTACTACGTTGTTTGGATAATTTTTACTTGTCCAAAGTAAACTGTACATTACTCTCAAGAAAAAGAATTCACCTGTTATTATGAATATTATAAACATGCACGCAGAGTATTTTTATTGTTACAATAATTTGAATAAACATCGAGGACATCTCCAGACGAGGAAAATTGGCATGATATAAGAATAGTATATAGCCATGTCCCATAATTTTGCCGCGGTAATGTATACGTCCTTACTCTTCCACTCGGCCATCCATCCCGATCTATCCCAATTAATCCTTCTAATCCGAACGTCTAGCCTCAATTAAGCAGCATTAGCGAAGTTTCGCCGCAACGAAATCAAACCTCAATAATCCTCCTTTAACCATTAATTACTTCTATTACCAATTAGCCTGAATTAACAAGGCTTCACCGTCGCCCGTAATCCCGCGGCAAAGTACACCTGTAACCGATATCCGGTTTCCATCCTCGACATCCAACGAATATACATCGATCGACGGCGATCGCCCGCGGACATTTTTCCGAAACGCTTCCTTGTCGCGTTATTGCTTCATGCGACGTGACATAAACTACGACCCGTCGCTCTGGCGGATCACGGCAGCTTTTAATATCCGGCTTGACCCCGGTATAGGCGGACCACTGCGGTAATTCACGCACAGGGTCGTACGGTGGCCACCGTTTCGAACTATAGGACCTAGATATTTGTTCTGGACGAGAGTTGCACGATGCAACAACGCCATTTTCATTAAACCACCTTTGGATCGCTATGATCGAACATTGATCACTTTTTTAAGTGGATGTTCACGAATGTTCGTTCTAATCTCGTTGAAATTATCATTGTGCATTGCTGATTCTTAAAATGAACCCCAGATGTGATCCGTAAGTTGAACATTTCCGTCCCTCCCAACCCCTTAAACTGAAACATTAACCAATGAAAAGTACGCGTGTGATATTTCCCAAAGCTCCATACGAGTGATAGAATCGAGTGAGAGGATATTCCGAATGAAGGAGTACGTCGATTTCGATGATACTCGAGGATAAGAACTTTAACGAACCACCATATGTATCAGGTTACAGGTGAACGAACCTGTTTCGCTCATTTACATAGCGATCCACTCGATCGCTTCATATTTCATAGGCCGGCGAGTCTATCGACGCACCCACACACGCGCTGTTACAAAGCATAATTTTGGAGCGTGTAGAGGATAGGGCACGTAGACGCACACGGCATCATGTTGCGCACCGTTTCGCGTGCACCGCTGCCTGTAAAATCCACGTCGACGCGGGATTCGCTTGGATAATGCGCCAGCCTTTACTCGTTCCAGCTGACATGCGGTTTTCGTGCAATTTCTTATGAGGTAATGAAACCACCGCGGATGTACACGGTGCTTTTTGCGAAACGCACTCAAACATTTCATTCTGGATGTCTGACGAGGAGAGGTCGCGGCCGAGGAAGCCTCTTTTTCAACCGGACCGCACGAGAAAACCCTTTCGAAGGTAAAATACCGCTCAATGTGTGAACCAACCATAAAGGATGGTTCTAGGAACAGGTGATCGCTAAGTCGAGTAAATTTAAGCGCTCAAGGATGTTACGTGTGTTGCTCATAAGTCCATCTTTTGGATAGACCAGTTTGGAGTGTTTGAGAGTGTTTAACAAACGATAGGACTCTTCGCCTTGGTTTGAATTTAGGATAGACGCGTGTATCGAGGGTGTTATGCTCGTTGCTGTTGAGTGTGGTTTTGGGATAAACGAATTTAGATTGTTTGAAAGTGTTTGACTTTAAAATAGAGTTCTTCGTTTGGGTCTAGAGTCGAGATGCACGTGCTTAGCAGAGTGCTAAAGTACTGAACCTGAACTCGGACTAGGAACAGACATGTCCAGGCTGATAAATCCAAGTGTCCAGTATTTAAACTTGAGACGAACATGTCTGGGTCGACCAAGTCAAACATCCAAGTGCTTATATCGTGTTTTACGTCACTGCCTGCGGGTCTAGGCTCGGAGAAGACCTGTCCAGGTCGCCAAATCCGAATACCCAAGGGCTTAGCCAAGTTAAGGAAACTGTAGCCAGATTCAGGTTTGGGATATAGACATCTAGGCCGCCCAATTCAAGCATCCGGGTCTTTATGAAGTGTTGCAGTGCCTCCCGTGAATCTAGGCTTGCGACGGATTAGTCTAAGTCACGCGATCCAACTGTCCAGGCTACGCTATCCTAGTATTTCGCTCGGACTAGACCGTGCATACACGTTTCGATCGGGGAACCGTCGAAGGATGAATGCATAAAGGATGATTCCCGAGGAGGGTAGCTACTTTTTCGCGCGAGTGGCGTCTTGAGCGGATCGAGCAACATCTCTGAAAGTCATCCAGCGCGCTTATCTCGATTTTAACGAACCCCTGCACCCGTGCTACGCATAATAGCGGAATAGTTCAAAAAACGCTGACATACCGATAGCCGTGTTAGCGTCTAATTTGCGTCATCGCGTCAGAGTGCTTGCACCTATACCACTTTCGACCCTAACGAATGCACGCTTCTCTCGCCCCCCCTGGCCTATCGTTCTGCCAGCGTCGCGTATTAATCGAGTTCGTTCGTACGGGAATAACGCTGGCACCGCACAGAGTGTTTTATAAGTGGCAGGCCACGTAGGCGCTCCGCACGTGAATAATTACACTCAACAGAGCCTTTTCCTCGCATAATTTCTCTGTAAATAAATCGACGTCTGTGTACGCGGCAGCCTGACTCGGCGATTGTTTCGTGGATCCTGGATGAAAGAGAGGAAAAAAAAAAAAATACGCCTTTACAAATCGACCGTGTTCACCGATGATTAATTAACGAGCCTCGTCGATACCGCGGAAAATATACAAGCGTCGTGGAAACGGTCTGGAAATGGGCGCGATTTTTCAAGGGAAACGTTCGAACGGAATTATTTCGCGACCACCGATGCAAATCCGCGAACCTTGAAAGCTTGAAAATCAGAAATTCCATTTCCATACCATTAACGGTACTTTCGCGGAACCGTATATTTTATTTCTCGTCTCTATCGCGTGGGAAATACTATGAATCGAAGCCTGCGGTTACAAAGGCTCCGTTAATTTTTATCTCTTTTTTTTTTTGGTAATACCTTTAAAAAATTGTATTTATTATCGAGCACGGGAGCTGCCCGAATTTTTAAATTCGCCAAACGCTGGGGCAATCTTTTTCCGAGAGCAATTCGTTAGGGGAAAAATTGACAACCGATGCCCGTATGATGGTATGAAAAATTGCCTGTTTCAGTCTGCGACAGAATTGATAGCCCATCGCCGTGGAAAAAAAGACAAACGAGTCACGAAACAAAGGGAAATTAATAATGTTTCCAGCCGCAAGTGCTTCCGTGTCGTGACAGATTTAACAAATTCCCCCTCCCTCCCCTCCAAAAAAAATCCGCGACGAAATCAACAATAATCAGGGAGAATGTATAAATTACGTTTCGCGACGATTTATGAACCGTCGATTAATTTGTATTCAACGGGGCGCGCGAATGCGATATCAAACAAACGCTTAACTCGTCGGTTGATGTATTCCGCGACGCGTTGGCAACCATATAACGCGAAATGGAGCTTAGCAAGCAAGAAAAGTCGCGGTACGACCGAGTCCAGCTTATGGGCTGAGTGTTTAAAGTGAATGATGCCATTTAGAAAGAGGAACGATCTCTCACAGTCGTTGCTGCTTGCGCATGCTTTTATAAGAAACTCTCAACGACGTGTTGTAAACTGAGGAAAACGCTTAGCGTACTGCTGCTGGCAGCGATCTTGGGAACGAGGAA